GGCCCGGCTACCCCCCCCTCTTTCGCCCCCGCCCGCCCCCCTCCCTCCTGCGGGGGGCAAACAAACAAACAAAAACACCCCGGCCTGCCGCCCCCCTCCCGCAGCAGGGGCAGCTCTGCCCCGTGTCCCCCCCGCGCCGGCACCGCTCGGACCTGCGGGTCTGAGGCTCGCAGAGAACTGGGGAAGATGCCAAGGGAGCGGGACGGGGCAGGACAATGTCTGTCCCCTCACCGACCCGCCCCGGGCTGTGCCGGGCGCTGGAGGAGCCCGCAGGGCTGCAAGAGGCACAAACACCCACAGAACTGAGCTCCTTTGCTGTCGTGTGAGGCTGCCTGCAAGGTACCAGAGAGAGGGTGGGAGGGGAAGGAAAGGGTGCAGGTATCAGAAATAGCTCGGCTGGTTTTGATCTCCTCGCTGGTGCAGGAAAGCCCACAGATACCCAAACACGGGTTCCTTACTTTCCTGCTTCTGCAGGATAAAGAAACCATGAAGAGTCAGTCAGTTCCTGGCTGATGGTTCATGTCGCCTTTGGGGGGGGGTCACTGAGAGGTTTCATTAGGTTGCTTGCTTGCTTTTCTGTTTGGTTTTAGTCCTGGAGTTTTAACACAATGTAAGTTCATAGGAGATTAGGAGAAGAAAGGGACAACGGGAAGGGACGTGCCATTCTGCAGTCACTCAGACTCTGCAGACAAGGGCACTGAATCTTGCTTCTCCTCATTGCTTGGTTTCTTCTAATTCCCTGCCAGCTACCTCCTCACAGCCCAGGAGCTCCCTCAACTCCTTCCCACTGCCCACCCGTTCACATAACGCTTTTGTAAATATCCGAAGTGAAATCCGGGGGCTTAAGTCTGCATTAAGACGCATGAAACGTTGTCTAAGTTAACAGAAGCAGCGTTCAGCACTCAGCACGCCCCACACCCACCCCCGCGGCAGCACCAGCTCCAGTTTCAGAGACCCCACTGGCCCCGGCGCCTCCCGTGGGCCCATGGGGAGTGGGCAGAGCCAGAGAGCTGGGCCAGCTGGGACCAGTGGGACCACTCTCCAGCAACCCCCTGCACAACAGCTCCTGGGTTTCATGCTCTGTGTTGATTGTGGGTTTCCCGACCAGCAGTTCCCCTCCCAGGCACAGCCACCACGCACAGCTCGACAGCAGTAGCTGTGCCTCTTCCAAACGGCTCTGAAATCCCATCCTTGGTTAATCGCACACAGACCCCATCAAATTACCTCCACTGGTCAACAGAAGCTCTCTGAGACTCTGGCACAGCCTCAGAGAAGGACATTTTCTTCTGGAACTAAGAAAAGGGAATGGAGAGAAAAATGTACTAGTGTACAGCCCCTGTTCTTTTACTCTTCCAGACTTTTTCTGTCAGTGGAGTGGGAAGCTGGGATCTGCCTGCTTCATCCCCACAGGGATTTTCTGTAGCACAGAAACCACCAATGAACAGACAACTTCCTCACCTGGTGCACTCTGTTACAATTTAAGCCCCTGCAAAAAAACCCTGACAAACTGAAAATGTGGCGTTTGTCCAGCAATGAAGGTGGTGGCAGCTGCAGCCAAGGAGGTGAATGTGCCTCTCAGCAGAGCCACCTCAAAGACAGCTGAACACCTCAGAGAGGACGTGCCAGGGCTTTGCTGAAGTCTCATCCTTTTAAAACTCAACCAGAAAACCTACCAAGCTCTATAACCAGGCAGAGCTCCTGCTCCTCCCCAGCACACTGAGAGCTGGACAGGATGGCAGGTGTGTTGGGACCAGCTCGGGCAGTAATTACCTGTGTGGGGGGGAGGGGCTGGCTCACCTGGCTCCAGACGGTCCCTCCCCACACACTAATGACAGGACAGGCAGCTCGGGCTGACCGAGTCCGTGACCACTGAGGAAACATCCCCAGCACTTCCCAGGCCCAGGGAAGAGTAGCATGGGTGCTTGGACCTGCACGGGAATTAATCAGGCAGTGCTAACAAAAAAAGAACCAGCAGCTCAGGGCAGTCACATGCAGAGAGGCAGGGAAAGATGAGGGGCAAAAATAAAACACCAAACCAGAACTCATTGGGGGTTTCAGACAGCTGTACATTGAAGCCAGTCACCTTGCACACTCAGTCTACAATTGGAGCAGGGTTTCCCACGTGACACAGGCGTGCAAGGCCTGGCAGCAAGGAAGAACCTGGGGTTCAGTTTGGGGCTGCAAAATGAAAAGCCCAGAGAGCAACAGACAGAAGTTGTTCCAGCTCCATTGCTCACATCTCAGCCCTGCCACTGAAGCTCAGCTATGAGGAAACCCAGCATCTCCTTGGCTCAAATTTGCCAGGTGCACTAAGCTTCAAGGGACCCCAGGAGCATCAGGAGAAGCCAAAGCTGCTCAGCATGCACTAAGACTTCAGGAGCCACAAAGCCTTTCCGTGCCTCTGGGCTCACAGCACCTAATGCTGCTCACATTACCCGTTCAGAAAATTGCTTTCCATGGAACAAACCACCCTCTCTATCCTCTCACATCAGGATGAGCAGCACTAAGGTTTCACAGCTACCATGCACACAGGGAAGCCTCCAAAACTGTTCAGCTCATTACCTGGTACTGGGGGCCCAAGACAAACACACTGAGAAGCACCACAAAGCCCTCCCAGACTCAGCCCTTCACGGGCAGTGCCAGCAGTGGGGACAGAGGCAGCTCTGGCACTTGTGCACAGCAACAGGCAACAGCAGGGAGAGGAAGCACTGACAGTGAAACTGGTACTTTGGTAAAAGAGCAGGCAGCTATTTTGGGACAGATCTCTGAGTTTCTTGCACAGGATATTTCAGTGCTTTGATGCTATGGTGACAAGTGCCCTAAATATATTCAAAATACGTAGGGAGAGAGAACAGAAAACAGGACATTTTAAAGCAACAGCTCTAATGAGCACCTTGTTCCCACAGCCATACCTGTCCACTGGTCTCATAGTGCACCCATGGAGCCACATCATCTAGTGCTCCTCACCTTCTCTGCTCCTCTCCTGGCAACACCTAGGAGGAAGCATCTGGACTGCATTATTTCACCAAGGAGCATCTGAAGAAAGAAGGACTAGAACTGAGAGCTTTTTCTTCCAAAAGCCCAGGCTAAAGCAGAACCTCCTGTAGGAGCTAACCCAGAGCTTTGTCACAAGCCCTGAGTGAGGCAGTGCCCAGCAAGTGGCCCTTGTCTACATGGACAAGCTGATGATCCCAGGGAAGACATTGACTAGGTCTGTGGGTCAGCAAAATGCACCAGACTAACAACATCTGTTCTGAACAGCTGCTCTCATCACCTTTCCTCTGCCAGCAGAACCACCCACCTGGCTCTGGCAGCACAAGCAAAGGCAGTGGTTGCTGCCTTAAACACACTGCACCTTCTTTGAAGATCTGCTCCAAACCCCTGTCCATCTCTGGCTGCTGCTGTCCAATTTCTTTCTTTTTTAATTGGGCAGCAATGAAAAGGGAGGCATCACATGCTGGCAGGAGGGTGATAGCTCTACACAGAGGTGGGCGAGCTCTTCAAGGTTTTATGTTCTTTTTATAAATACAAAATTCCCTCCTATCTTCCCATCCTCCAGACTCTCTTCAGCCCTATTTCCTCAGGGAAGAGAGGTCAGACATCAACATTGGGCCCCTGCTTTGTCATTCCTGAGTTGGCCAGGAGGGAAGGCCACCCCATCCCCCCAGGGATGTCTCCCCTCTGCAGCATCTCTGTGGTGCAGAGAGGCTGGTCCAAGCCCTGGCCCCACTAACCACCAAGTCTACAGTCTTCTGCCTCACCACAAGCCACCACACAAAGCACAGAGTGCAAAGAAAACAACACTAGGAAAGGCAAGATACAACTGCAGGGGTTCTGCAGCATAATGTGTGTCTATAATGCAAATACATTGTTCTGAGCCTGCCCGGCTGCTCCGGGCTCTGCCCAGCCCAGCACCCAGGATGGGGGGACCATTCATGAACCTCTCACAAGCTCCTGAATTGGGCTCATTTTCTATCCACTCATTCCTTATGATTAGTTAATGAATTGGAGCCTGCATCAGGTCATTCATCAGCTCAGTTTTAATTGCCTGACTAGCCTGGCAGAAACCTTGGAGGGCTTCAGTAAGTGACCTACACCCAGACCTGAACTGCAGTCCTGTTTCCTGATAAATTACAGGCAGAGGCAGCAGAGGCAAGAAAACATTAACAAATCCTCTGCACATCCATCACATGGAGGATGCCTCCCTGCCACAGCCAGAGCCACCTTGTCCCAGACACAGAGGAGGAGGCAGAGCAGCCTCCTGTCCCCATCTGACTGAGATCTGGAGCACTGGGCACAACAGGGACTCTCCCACCATGTGCCATAAGGAAGGTTGAAGTGATGATGTTCAATTTCAGGAGGGAATTCCCAGAGCTGTTTTGGATGGCCACTGGCTGATTCTCTCCTAGAGCCTGAGAACTGCAGCCACGATGGTGTCCACAGAAAGTCCCCTGAGATCAGTCTCTGCTCCAAGAGGATGCTGTGGTCACACCAAGTATTTAGGATCATGTCTGGTCAGGTGCCACACACGCTGGGAAGGTGCCACCAGAAGCTGCACTGCTGGCAGCATGGGAGGGCCAGGCTGGATTTGGGCAGCTCCAGACACCCAGCAGGAGGAGGAGGAGGAGGAAGGAGAGCCAGGGCTGGCTCAGTAACCATGAGACACCCTGCCTGGCTCCTAGTTCTGTCTTCCAGGCCCTGAGCCCTTGCCATTCTCTAGAGTTTCATCCTACAGCCGCCAGGGGATTTAAGTTGTTTTGTTTTGTACCGTGACTGTGTGGTTCCAGGAAGCTGGGGTTTCAGGAAGAAAAGCATCCCAATCCTGATAAGCTAGTGAAAGAGCACAGTGTGGGGGACACCAGATACTTACTCCTTTCACTCTCCCAACAGCCCCACCCTCTCTTGGTTAACAGCCTTTTGTAAAGGTGCATTCAAGACTTCTAATCCACAGCAGGTTCTTAACCACCAGGTGATCTACTGAACACTTATTTCCCGGTGTTTTATTTCCTGTCTTCCTCCTTTTTGATTTTTCATAAGCCACCAAAGAGAAACAAGAACTCAAACCAAGAAAAAGCAAAATCTCAAGCATCTCCTCTGCATTCAGAAAACCCAGGAGGTTAGGCTCAAGGAAAAAAAAAACTGAGAGAAGAGGCAGCCTTTGCTGAAGAGCCCCCCAAACTCCCCAGTTCCTGCAGCCTCCAGCTCTGCCACGCAGCCCCTGAGCCCTCCCCAGCTCAGCACAGCCCGGAGTGGCAGGAGGGGGGACCCAGGCCCCAACTGCCTCCATCCCTGAGCAATGCAAACATTGGCCCAAAGCATTTAAGCTGGAAGCATGGGAGCAGCCCAGGAATGTGTCAGCTCATGTGTACATTTATCATTGCTTTAGGAGGTTTCTTATTGCCCAATACTTAGGGCAGTTCATTTGGGCAACTACATGTTGGAAGTGTCTCAGCATCTCCCCCATTTAAAAAGTAACACTTCAAACTATTAATAAATCAACGTTTAGAACCCAAAACTATCCAGGTGAAGCACTAGGGACTTACCAGGGATGTCAGAGGGAGCTCATGCAAGCTGATCACTTGGTACCTGTTCCACATGGGAAGTTGTGAACTCCACGGGCAGCACACGAGGTACCCACCAGTGTTCAGGCTGGGAAAGGCTACACCTGTAGTAACAGTGGGGAAAAGGCCTATTTATGCCAAAGTTCCAAGCAAAATACGTTTTAAAGGCAGAAGGGATCAAGAAAAGGTCGTTCACCTTGATCCCCTGTGTAGCAGACCAGGGAATTTTGTTGTATTCTTTTGCACTGAGTAGGGGCAGCCTGGTTATGAAATGTTAAATGTTGCTGTACATGAGAAAAGAGAAATTGCTATTTTTACACTTATATGCTTAGAAACCATAGGATATATAATCTCTTATCTGGTGATGGGTCAGAGGAACAAATGAAATACACACATTAGGTTAATGCTCAGAGAAACTTGTACAACCTCAGTGAAACTTAACATTTTTCCATGATGTGAAGTTCATTTTTTAAAAAAATAAGTTTTTTTCAATTTAAGATACTATTAGGGAGAAGAGAGAAGTTAATAAACAAAAAGATAATAGTTTTCTGGTTTGTATTAATCCTCAAGATATTTATTTTGTATTTCTGTAACTGAAGAACAATGGTTTAAATAATTTTAAGTTTTCAGAAGTTTATTCATCTAAGTTTATAGCACCAATGTTTAATTCTGTAGCCTGTAGATTAATTGAATTAATTGGAGCCAAGTGGATCATGGCAGCCTCTGTGCCGGGGGTGT